ATAATGACAAGTTAGGTGGTCAGAATAACATCCAAAAATTTGTTTAATATTTTTAACTCATTCCATTCTCTTCATTTTCAAATCTGGAATGGGGAAGGATGGTGAAACTAGGGATCATTATCTGTTACTTCCCTTTGCAACCCCTTTCTGACCTACCTCCTTTAGATGGATCATTGTTTTTCCACTGTTTTGCTAATTACAATTTTTTATCCAAACAAATAAAAAATAGTGAGCATTCCATATTTCTTTTCCCTCTGCTTCTTTCAATCTGACTATAATGTTGCTCTTTGTAATGTGAATGTCTTGCATCACCAGTACGCCTGTAACCTTTCTGTTAGGTCCCAGTCAGAACCAAGAGAGTGAGTTAAGTTTTCTGCTTTGAGTGAGAAATATCCACACGTATTAATAGAAATTCCTACTTTTTTCATTCCTTAAACTTGCAACCTTTAAATACAGAAACTACTAACTGTTACTTCCTACTTCTAAAGCAATTAAAAAGAAAATGGAATTGTGGAAGATAATGGGAATAACAGCTGCAGATGGGAAACAAGGGATATGGAATACATTGGTTGACCACTTCACAGCTGCTTGGTGTCTGGGTCTATCCTTGCCTCCCCTTTTTTTTTTGGAACCTTGTCCTCAAGGTTCATGTTGCTAAATTGTTTATGCTTCCATTTAACCAGGCTTCTCTAGTTCGAGATCTTCCTCTCTTTGTCGCCTCCCAATAGGAGCAGTTGGGGCTTGTGACGCCGGTGGCCGGGGGTAAATCGTTCGTCGCAGTTGAAGCACAACCGTTGTGCTCGCAGCTCTGCATTTCATCCCAAGAGATTCATCTAGTAGCGGCTGAAGTTGTTGTAGTTTGTAATGATGGAGCTGTTAGAGCTCGGGGCAACAGAATGGTTGCGAATTGCCCGAATTGGTTAGACCGGCATTGCCAGTTCAATTGATACTCTCTCATGCGAGCCAGTGTAGTCACTTCCTTCAAGAAATTGGGTCAGAACATCCGCTATTCCATTGGACCCAGTTTCCTAACCTTTCAAACTCTTTCTGATATTCGTGCAGTGGGCGAGCTACTTAACTTTGGACAGGGTTTCATCGAAATCTTCACATTTCGTTGGCCCAAAACAAGCCCAAAGCTCGTCTACGAATGCAGCCCATATGACCTCTCTTCCTTTTTCCCTGTAAGTCCGCAGCATCCATTGCCACCACTGGTTGGCTTCCCCTTCGAGGTGGAAGGAAGCTAGGGATACTTTCTAGTTATTAGTGGTACCTTGATACTCTGAAAAATTGTTCCACACAGTTGAGTCACTCAGGTAGGTCATCGTCGAAATAGGTGAAAAATTCGAGTTTTGCAAGTTTGGAGTAGAACATCTTTTTTTTTTTTTTGAAATAAAAGAGAGGAAATTGTATTGAGTGTAGGCACTAAGGGGATGCTGCTCATGTACAAAAAATTTACAAGTCAATGAGCATATCTATAATAACACTAAAATCATCAAGGTTAATAAGGTTTTGTCATAGAATAACGGACCCAAAAAAGTGAAACTTTTGTCTTGATGTTGCCAAAATTATCCTCTTTGCCTTCAAACGCTCGATTGTTCCTTTCTTTCCATAGGATCCAAAAATGGTAAGAGGGATAATTCGAAAATTCGTGTTTCCTTTGCATAAAAATTCGCAGGCTTTCAATTCATCCTTTATAGAACCAGCTGTAACCCAATGAATTCCGAGGAGTCCAAAGACCATGGTCCATAAGTTTTGGGTGAAAGGGCAGTGTAGAAGTAGATGTCTACATGATTCTGCATTTTTTTTTGCAAAGGAAGCATCTATTGGTTAGTGTTAGACCTCTTTTCATAAGATTATCAATGGTAAGGATTTGTTCTCTTGTTGCCTCCCAAGCAAAAAAAGAAATACGAGGGGATGCATTAGTCTTCCATATCATTTTTGCTGGAAAATCAGAATTCCTTGCCTCATTTTGACCAGTCAGTTGGTAGTAAAATGTTTTGACCGAAAAATTTCCATTGTTGCCAAGAGACCAGCAGAGTTCATCCTTTTTAATGGTGAGTTGAAATTCTGCCAAAAAATGTATTGGAGTAGGACATCTGTCTGTCCTCATCCGTCCTCTCTGTGCCGTCGCCACGAGGCGGTTGTATCTGGCCAGGTCGTCCCAGGTTATTGCTGCCAGAGCCCTCTCTGTTTGACACCAAATTTTTTGTCAGCTGCCTGCGAGTGTCTTCGATCTGGTGGCTCTGGTCCGCGAGACCTAATCCATTTGGCTACGCTATCCTGCAAACTGCCCAAGCTGACTTTCAGGTGCTCGATTCTTTCTTTATTGGTGGTCATGACTCTATTACCTATTGTTAGGTAACAGTCAGAACTAAGACAATTGGTTAAGTTTTCTGCTTTGAGTGAGAAATAACCATAGGTTTTAATACAAATTTTAACCTTTTTCATTCCTTAAATTCGCAGCTTTTAAATACAGAAACTAAAAACTACTACGTCCTACTTCCAAGACAATTAAAAAGAAAATGGGATAGTGGGAGATAATGGAAATAACAACTGCAGACGGGAAACAAAGGATATGGGATATCTTGTTTGACCACTTCCCAACTGCTTGGTTTCTGGGTCTATCACTTTCTCTTATTATTTGTTTTGTTTCTTGGAAAAGAATATGAAAATATGATGGAAGAATATAAAATTGTTGTATTTCTACAATTTTGTGTACACAAGTTGGAGATCACTATGAATATTTGATTTTCAATTGTTATCTTTGTTGAATGTCAACCCTCCATTGTCTATGTTTGAACAAGATGTGATGCGAAACTCATGATCTACGAGCATGATTAAAAATCCCGCATATAACATTAGTAAACAGAATAATAAAAATCTCAACAAATCCTCCTTACTTAACTCAATAATTCACTTGGAATTATGAATTAAGGTAAGTGGGATAGTTTGATTTGATTAAAAACGCTATAAGTATGAATTTGATAAATTAGAAATCAATTCGAAAGAAAATTGATAAAATGCCACAAGAGATTACCTTAATAAGTTGAATTAATCATTTACTCAATAAAATGGTTGAAGAACCCTCTCAAAATGTAATCACAATAGTGTATAAGTTAAAGCAAACCTTAATTTTATTAATTTGACATAATTGATTAATGAATTACAACTTAAGAGTGGTGACCTTTATATGAACATTCACCTTACGTATTTGAATTAAACTCAAAAAGTAGAATTCTAATTAAATTCCTGAATTTAACTTAATCTAGGAAAGCATTAAAATAATAATGAAAATAAGCTACTTACTCAAAACATAAGCTCTTCTCTCTTTAGATGAAAGAGTGTTGTGGTTGAATTCTCCATGCTTTATTTGAATTGGATTTGGTCTTCAATATTTAATTAATTATTGTGATAGAAGTTGAGTTGAAGATGCTTTAAAAGCTTCCAAATTGAAGTAGAAAAACAATTCCTCTTCCATGAGAAAATCAAAGAGAAAATCCAAGAGAAAATCTTGAATTCTTCTTGCTTCTTTGCTTGATAATTTGTCATTCGCTTTGAAGTAGAATTCCTATACATGTAGTTCATTAATTTAGTTGAAATTCTATTAAAAAAGGAATCCCAATTTGCCTTTATTCGATCACCAAAAGGAAGAGCAGTGATAATTCTCCCTCGGGTAAGATTCCCACACGGGCAGGAATTCTTTCCCCTTTAGAACTTTTCCCGTGAGTTCTTTTCTTTCTAGCATGCATTGTTGGTTCTCTTCTAGGACTCTTCTTTTTAGCCACAAGTAGATTTCTTCTTAGCATGGAATTCTTCATGAAATTCAAAAGAAGAATCTGTTTTGGGCATGGACTCTTCATGGGGGAGAGAGACCTCATGTGGGCAGGACTCTTTCTTCCCTCCACCTCTCAGAATTCTACTTGGACTTTTGGGTTTTCTTGTGGCTTGGTTGTGCTCACATCAAGATGGTTATGGATGGTTCTTTTGCGGTGATCATAAGCAAGTTTAAGTACAATTAGAAGATCATTAAATGAAATTTGAATGTGTAAGCTCCATCTTATAATTGTCAGACCAAGAAAAAATGTTTGCCTCTAGTAAATCTGCATCCATGGTAATAAGTATGTGAGAGATTGTTCTTGCAAGCCATCCAATTTTTGATTTGTGAACTTCTACAATGAGGTGGTAATTACCTATTATACCTGGTAGGACTCCTCGATCTTTGATTGCTGGTCTGATGTGGACTGGGGTGAAGGATGGGATGTATGTCATGCGGCATGTCTGCCAAAACTCTGATGAGCTAATCTCTTATGGTTGGACACAACATAATGGGCGTGACTTTGGACATCAAGTGTTGATAGATCATGATATGACCCTGGAAACAAGTTTCCTGAAATCCAAGGGCCATGGCAGTGGCTATGGAGGAGACTGGGCAGTCCAAATTGATGTAAAAGGTACAAAGTAAGTGGCCTACCTGCTATTATCATGTCCTTGGTTATTTTTTTCATTGTGCTTATTGAAGAGTCTTTTATAATTTTCAACATGATTGCTGTTATCGTGGTCAATCAACTGAACTAGGGGGAAGGAAGAAATGCAAAGAAATGCACAGCTTTTCTTCTATTTGGCTGACGAAGATGGAAGTGCTCTGGGATTGGGCACTGAAATACTGGATATTAATAAGAATTCTCTCCTAGCTTCAGGTTCAAGATTGGACATCGGTGATTGGCAGCTACATTTAAAATCAATGGTAATACTGTTAAAGTGCTTTTGTTGACAAACGCAAAACTATAGTCCAAATATTAACAAGAAAATTGCATTGAGAATTCTTTAAGTGCATGGATGCTGCAGTTTACTTAATGAACTTGCTATAAATGCCTTGAAAAGTTCAATTTGGCATGTAAAGGAATATAAATGAGGTGCTAAATGGTCATTTGCTTGCGTACCATTACTTCTCTGAAAAAGGCTTTTTTTTAGCCTTATGATTGTCATTCTTTGAAATAAATTTAGGTGTTAATGTAATCAATATTATCCATAATGCTCGTATTCTGCTCTTTTCTTTTATGCTAAACTAAAGCCTACTTTCTCTGAGCTCTTTATTTGCAGAATAATCTGGAAGCCCATTATTCTGGTTTCAGGACACCTCACATCCATAATTTATCTGATTTTGTCCTGGGAAATCTTGCAGTCCAAGTATGTTATATCTCTGCCATTATATCTGTAGATCTCTTTACTCCTATTAGAATTATTTTGTTCATCTGTTTGTATGGTTAGGCACAAAAGTTTGGTCGGTTGCAGCTATCTGACTCATCTGATGATTCTCCAAATGTTTTAGTTTTTCAGGTATGTAACTGTGAAGGTCATGAGCATTAATTACATTGAAACATAGTGAACTATCTTCACTAACGTCATGATCTTTGTGTTTGATCTTATTTTCTCATCAACAGTCTTCTTATGCAGATTGCTGCTAGGATTCCATTCAAAGTGGATCTTGCTTTTGTGTCTGGAACTGGTGGAAAGAATTCTCGGGTAGAAGAACGTGTAGCTAATCTTACAGGTTTTCTTCATTTTGGTATATTTTAGAATTTTGCTAGATTTGAATTTTTAAAATGTCTGATTTTCATCAGTTTCTATATAATTTTTTCAAATAAAAATATGGTAGATTCAGTCATCAGTTTTC